TAGCTATGTTTTGCGCAATCACAACATCGCTATTTAAAACGTCTTTATAGCATAAACAACTATATATATAAGGCTGTTCCTGACTGGAACGTTTGGAAATTCCGCGCCTGAGATTTTGAAAATTTAATAGTATTGTAAATATAGAAAGTGTTAAAATTGCGCGGTCGATATCTCCGCCGCGCGATACAGACATTCCACACTGGACTGGCTGTTTTCCCCTATTTATTTTGGGAAATGCAAAAATAGCTTGGAACACCTTAATATACACAACCTTTCCTGGTGGTCTTCTATTTTATTTTATTTTATTTAAAGAAATCAGAAATAAATAATGATTATTGAATCGGCATAAGTAGTTGACCACCAGGACTACGCTAACCTTACGACGTCTTCTCACTTCTGATGTCGTCCGTTTTAGTAAAAGAATACATAATGTATCTCCGTCTTCCCAAGTAACGTATCTTCGTCTTTTCAACTATCGAACTTACAGTCGCACGCAGGTATACACTCTATCTATTGGCGCAATTTGAAATTTGCAAGCTAATATTTCACTTGACATTGATGTCAACTTGCATAAGAATAGCTTGATAATATTATACATGTTAATTTAATTATGCTTTTGAGAGAGTTGAATTTCACGCAGCTGGTGTATTTTCCAATGACTGAAGAGACGTCAGCACTTCTGCGGCTTTCTCATTTTAATTATAGTTGAGTTGAGTAAAATGGAGTGGCATGCATGTATGATATACTATATAGTATCACATATTCACATTATAATGGTTTATCGAAACGGAAACGGCGCAAATCGTACTCAAAAACCATGGCCGTACGAGGCACTTTCCGTTACAATTCTGAATTTTTTCACAACACTATTCGGAAATCGCAACTATTCGCCGAGACGCCGACTACCTGATGCGGTAATTGCGGTGGACACTCAGTGATTCACAAGACTATAAGTACTTTCAAGTATTAATATAGCTTTTGATGTAAAATAACATATTATTATTGGATTCGAAGCAAATGTTTCGTGCAGTTTACATTATACTTTATATAACATCAGTATATGCAAGAATAAACTTTTCAGTTTTGCTGCCTTAGCCTAGGAAAGTTTTATTAATAGCCTAATAACTGTTTATTGCAAAAGCTTTGATTTTGTTCATTTAGTCGCTGTTCATTTGGTATCAAAATCTATTTTCCTGGTTTTAAACTCCATATGAAAAATTAAAGTTGTATTCAAGCACCAGTAAGAGAAATTATATTCTGAGAGAAAATTCTACTCCTGAGTTAATACAAGGGAATATAAACTATTTCCTATAACATGATCACTTAATATCATAATCCGACAATTATTTTAATTAGGTTTATAGTGCCAGTTAGGTGTTGATATACAGTATGCCGATTTCCGTCAAAGTAAGTCGAGTTATCAACGTATTTAATTTGCCGTCGGGCAACATGCACAGTTATTGAATCTACGAAGTAGATTATATGCTATCGACGTGTTAGCTGTTCACTGTTCACTTTTCAGTTACAAATCACGGCTTGGTCGCGAGACAATCCAATATGCCGGTAAAGAGGAGTTAAAATTTAGCTATGATTTATATTTATTCACACATTTAAATTTGATGACTTGTGGATGAAAATGGAGCGAAGGTAAATCATAATCTTGGAACTACGTGTCTGTTTTGTAGTAGCGTGGTTGCTGTACACTTTTCAGCAATTTACGAAATAGTACGTATTGGTTTTCAAGGCGTCTACCTTGTGTCCTATTTGGAGTCATCTTGACACCTAATAAGCATTTGAATTAGCGAAATTTGGCAAAATATGAGGTACAGAATTATTTTAATAAAGTATAACAACCAGCGAAAAAGTAAGCCACTAAGGTTTCGAGTAAAATTGACCCATTAAATGTTTTAAATGTTATGGGCCGTAACTTTCTACTCTCCAAGATGTTGTTGTTAGAATTTAGTAATGTAATACGATCCTTTAATATGATGTGTACGCTCATGTCGAATATTCCACTTAATATAAACACAATAAAAGTGCAACAGTATTAAACGTGATTCTTGTTCACGTTTAACTATATATTGTACTTATCCCGCCTCTGTTTCAACATATCATATACGAACAAGTGAAAATACTTTATTAGTTAATTGTTTTTTAATTAATGTGTTTCGTAATATTTTGTTTCACGGCAGAACCATTGGCCTTATCAGTATAGGTTAGTGGGCAGGAGTCTCTATTATTATGGCGTGTATACGAATTCGTATAAGACACAGTTACTGTGGCGTTTTACTGCGATGGATTTGTTTAGTGTGCAACTGAGTATGGTCTTACAATTAAAAATAGAATTGTGAATATTTTAATCTGGAATAACCATTTTAGAGCAAATTACCGGTATTTCAATGACATGTTTATGCCAGCATATATTGTTTTCTGATTATGTTCTAGTCTAGCTGGTGCTTGGTGGCCATTCACTTTTTAAAGTTGTCGGTTGACCACTGGACACTGGACAGGGTGGGCAACGATTTATTGCTATTCATAGATTCATGTGCGTAGCTATTTTTATTCCTCCATCTGACTCGGCTTAATTAAAACGCCATGGATTTTATAATTTTCGTTTGTTCATGTATAGCAAACTACTGGACTTTCTAGAAATGCCGTCCATGATGCGGCTACATAGGTATATAGTACACTAGGTTGGAAATTTTATGTTATTTCGTTGTTGCTAATGTATTATGCGAAAAATTAAGTCGAATCTTTGGCGGATAATGTGACATAATTTAGCAAATTTTGTGCCGTGTCGTAGCTACTTAACTTAAAATTAAGCCTGTTTTCGAATTTCATCGCATGAATCGAATTTTTATTGCTAAAATTGAAAATAATTTATTAAAATTCTAATTATAATTCCAGTCTAGAGCTTATAAGATAAAAGATTCGCACGACAAATTTCGCTAGTGGAAAACAAACTTTAGTTATTCAAACTTCAGTTGCAAGAATTCAATTGATTTAGGGGTCGATCTACTGCCGCTTTCAATCGTTCTAGACTATTACATTCGGAGCGCAGCAAAATCCGCTTTCGAAACTGGCAAGCCAGGTATATTATTAATTAAGATCAATATTTATTACTGTGGACTACATTGAAACTGTTTTATGCTTGTTTTGATACAATTGTATGCGTAACATAACGACTTTCAGTTATTCGGCCAGAATAATAATGTAGTAACTTAAGCGAATTTAGTTGACGCTAAGCTGACGCTATTCAACGGCGGAAGCGGCAAGCTCGCGGATGAATATTTCAACCATCTTTTAACATTCGAGAAACCTTTTGCTCAATTTATTGTTGCAATATTTCACCGCGACATTTTCGACGCTACTCTAATAAAATTGCAAGAATATTTAATATTGCAAAGGGTGGCGAACTCCTATATTAACTGCTGTCCGTAACACTAATACTGTAATAGTGTTTTTTGTAAATCCTACAAGACAAAGCGGTTTCAGATAAACACCTACAAAGCCAGCTTAAACAATGTGAATATATTCTGCAAGGAATTTAAACGGCTTCGTGAACGTATTTGAACGTTTTGAGCCAAACGTTGAAACGATTTAGCAACATTTTCAAACGTTTTTCTCCAACCGTTTGAACGGTTCAGCCAGACGTTTGAACGATCTCAAAAATCGTTTCAACGGAACGCTAAAGCGTTTAAACGGATAACGAACGGATAACGAACGATTTTTCAGAACGTTTTTCAAAACCGTTAACGTACGTTTTCCCAAGGAGGGTCACATTTAGCGTTAAAGCTTCAAGAACTTCAAAATCGTGCAGCGCGTATTATTATTGGAGCCGACTGTTCGCGAAGGTGTAGTGATATATTAAACGAATTAAGATGGGAGAAGTTGAGTGAACGAAGAAATGCAAAGCAGTGATGATGCATAAAATTATATTAAACCACAAAGCATTGTCATGTTTCTTAGGTTTATTTAGACCAGAAACTGGTGCCAATTTTTATGATCTTCGTTCTTCAACAGAGAATGTCAAACTTCCACTAATTCGAACTGAATATTACAAGAGAAGTTTTGTTTATTCCTGCGCAGAAGTGTGGAACTCTCTTCCTGAAGTTTGGAAAAAGAGAGTTCATTAAAGCGGTTCAAAGATCTTTTAAAAAATATCTGTTTGATTATTCTTTACAGATGTAGATGAATGTTCCTCAAGATTGACCAATAACTGCGGCATGAATTCCCAATGTATTAACGCTATTGGGAGTTTTTCATGCAGATGTAATCATGGTTATACCGGAAATGGATTGACATGCACTGGTAGGTGACTATATGCAAAGTTGTTATTACATGGAACTCAATACTGCAACCATTTCCTTCACTTTTTTAAGATATTGATGAATGTTCTCTATCTGTTGACAACTGTCACCAAAACTCAACATGCACCAATATTGATGGATCTTTTCTCTGCAGTTGTAATAATGGATTTTCTTGGAATGGAACGGTTTGCGAGGGTAAAAAATTGCAATATAACACCTAAATAGTCAAATTTGCATTGTTGTAATTAAGAAGCCAACAGTCTCGAATTCCTATGGTATATATTTTATAATTGTTTTTTAATACTTTAAATTTTATTGTTGAAATTACGGCTAAATACCGTACGTTTCGATACATCCTATGTTTTGTATTTTTTTTTTAAATCCTATAGATACATATACTACATGAATAACAATTGCATAAGATTTGAACAAGTAATAGGACACGAGGTTCCCTACAAGGCTTGAACACCTATAAATTATAATTTGATAAATGCCTTTTCAGTTGGTTGGTTTTGATATATTGTTGCCTTAATTATTCACAAAAAAGTTTTTCTTAACTTTCAAAATTTGACAGGATTTTAAAAATGTATTTCCCCCGGAAAATCAAATAGTAAGAGGACTAATAGTAACTGGACGACAATGACGTCATTCACTCATTAATTAAACACTTAGCACTTCAAATTTTTACAGCGATATCTCTCAGGTTGCAAGGGCCATCGAGTGGAAATGGTACTGGTCGTGTGGAAGTGTTCTTTGCAGGCAAATGGGGAACAATTTGTGGTGATTATTGGGATAGAAATGATGCCATAGTTGTATGTCGTCAACTCGGTTATCTGAATGCTGTAAGAGCTCTCTCGGGGTCTGATGTTCCTGATGGTTCTGGACAGATTTGGTTAGACAATGTATTTTGTAAGGGAAGTGAACAAAATTTAACCTCATGTGCACATAGGCGATGGGGAGACCATAATTGCTGGCACCATCAGGATGCTGGGATTGAATGTTCTTCAACAGGTAAATTTACTGTAAGATTAGTATATATTGTTGATAATTATACTGGCGTATTTACCCCGGCAATACCCCGAATTGCCACTTCATGACGTACGCCGTAATTTATAATTGCCTAAAAAGTCAACTACAAACTTAAGCCCCTAATCTCCTTCTCGTGTAGGTAAACGCTGTAGGTCTCTAGATGAGAAATAATTTACACTCATACACATGCACGAATTTATACAAAAATTTGCCGTATCACTTGTGGGATGTTGAATGATAAAATGAGCATGCTCGTTCTCGCATTAAAGCATTTAAAATGAGCATGGGGAACAAAACCAAGTTAGTTTGTTCGTATGTTTGTTAGTCTGTCCGGTTGACTGTCTGTTGTTTGTTTGATTGTAACTAATTGGGCCCGCAGTGTTTGCTAATAAGCTGCATGTTGCGGTGACTTGGCCATACTGTTTTGTTATTGTAATTTTATGCGGGCAAAGAGTTAATAAATTAAATTAAATAAATTAAATTAACCCCGCCAATCCTGCTATGAGTATAGTTTAAATCATATTTTATGAACTCTCTCTCTCTCTCTCTCGCGGTATGATTCGCTTTATTATAACTAAAAAAGGATCAATATACTAGAAAAAAAACGTCAAAAAATTATCATTGTGATAGAAATGGGTTTATATACAATAAGTTAGCGCGTTATTGTACACAGCATCAATACAAAGCATTTCACTTTTCTGTCATCAATGTTTGTTTTAAAATAAAATAATTTATTTCAGGTTGTCATAAAAACCAAAACATTTTAAAGTTTAAGCAGTTGCGGTAGGACCGAATTTGTGGCTTAATGAACTATCAAAATATTGCAACAGAGAAGAATATATTATTGCTAGAGAGAAGAACATATTATATCTACACTGTGTATAAAAAACTGAACCCTTTCAAATTCAAATTAGCTATAACGTATTGTAGTAATTTGACAGCTCTAATTAATTTAAATTAAGGGTTGGGTAAGAACACAAGGTCTTGTACTCATGGGACAAAACTCAAAGAAATAAAAATTAGAAAATTTAAAAGAAATTCAGTATTTTTTTTTAATTTTCTAATTTTTATATCTTTGAGATTTGTCCCGTGAATTCAAGACCTTGTGTTCTTACCCAACCATTAATTAAAAGCAATTAGAGCTGCCAAATTACTACAGTGCATGCAATACGTTCTAGCTAATTTAAATTTGAAAGGGTTCAGGGTTTTTTATACACACTGTATATCTTGAACATTTTCGTCGGCCCCGATTTTTTTGAAGAGATCTACACAGAGCATTCTGGTGTCGTACGCCGATTCTTTTACTGTTTGTTCAGTGAGGAATGCCAACGATTTTT